TGTGAGTGTGTGTGCGTGCATGCGTTTGTGCGCGTGCATTCGGACATGTATCTTAGAAATGCCTGGACCAATCACAATCAAACTTCACACATACATCATACATGATATTACACATATGCACGTCAATTTGTTTTACGATCTGATTTAAGATGGTCGAATGGCGGCCATTTTTGTGCTAAAAATCATCAAAATCAAGCATTTCTCGGTTGTTTACAGATGGATTTTGTTCAAACTTGGTATATACATTAGGCATTATGGGACCTTGATGCAAATAATTTTGTTTTTCAGATAAGATTCAAAATGGCCGACTGTATTAATGAATGTGGTTCTTGTGCCATATCTCTGACTTGCTTTCACTGATTATGTTCAAATTTTAAATATTCATTATACATCATGTCATAGATAGATAAATGTATTGGTTTGACGATCCTATTCAAAATAGCCAAATGGTGGCCTTTTTGTGCTAAACAGTCATCAAATATCAAGCATTTCTGGCATTTATGCAATGGATTTCATTCAAACTTGGTACATATATTAGACATTACAGGTTCCTGATGCACATCATTTATTTTTCAGATCGGATTCAAAATGGCTGTCTGGCCGCCATTTTGTTTTAATGATTGGGCTTCTAGACCCATATCTTCGACTTGTTTTGACTGATAATATTTTCAAATTTTAAATATTCATTATACATCATGTCATAGATAAACAGATATATTGGTTGGACTATCCTATTCAAAATGGCCGAATGGTGGTCATTTTTGTGCTAAAAAATCATCAAATATCAAGCATTTATGGGTGGATTTCGTTCAAACTTGGTACATACATTAGACATCACAGGTTCCTGATGCTCGTCATTTTATTTTTCAGATTGAACTCAAAATTACTGACTGGCGGCCATTTTGTTTTAATGATTGGGCTTCTAGAGCCATATCTCTTAAATGCTTTGACTTATTATATTTAAATTTTATATATTCATTATACATCATGTTATATATATACATGTATTCAAAATGGCTGATTTTGAATGCTGTTCCAGAGCAATATCTCTCAATATGGACAAGTACTTGTTTGACGATCAGATACAAATGTCAATCATTTTAATGTTAAAAAGTCATAATCATATTCCTGACATGGTTATATTCCAGCTATATTACTATAAACAAAACTATATATCTTAAATTTGATAACTAACTGGGACTGTGCCATTCATGGCTATTGTGTTTTTAAAAATGATTTTCAGAAGCCATATCTGTAATATACCTGTACTAGTTACATTCATATTTTGAACCTAAATACATCTTGGGACTATTTTGTTTCATAATTTATTCTCATCTAATTTCTTGATTTAAATCTTATAAAAGGTCTAATTAATTAACTAGCAATGTTTTTGACTTTAGCTTCCAAATCTTAACTACTTGAGAACACTTCATTTCAGGCTTCACTGAAGCATGAAGACGGGGATGCTGATTTACCAATGGAGAGGCATAAAGACCTCAGACAACGACAGCGAATATCGGACACAGTACAGAAGGAGAGAAAAGGAAAAGTCGAAGACATTCTCATTCAATGAGAATAACTGATGCTTATAAAGTGAAAAATGCAGTGAAAGCAATCAAGTCAGGTTTAAAAGTTACAGATGACGACATTTCAGCAAGGCCACAAAGAGACAGGAGGAGAAGAGAAAGAAGGTAGTCCTTTATTAACAGTTTGTAAAGTTTCCCTTGATAAATGCGCATCCTAGAATATTTGATGTTATATCATATCCCTGGAATACTTTACTTTACCTTGAGCAAACAATTTATTTTCTATTCCACACAGATTTAAATTATTGTATTTTGATATTGGCTAAAACTGATCTGTGCATTCTTACCAAGAAAACCAGTTCACGTCTGGATGTTTTGATGCTTGACTAAATGTGGGAGTGATTAATCATATCCAGTTGGAAGTATTATTTGAACAGATAGACACATATCAGTACAGTATGAACAATCAAAGATGTTCAAACCATGTTTGAATGAAAGATGTCTAAACCTAATCTACCTTTATCAAAGATACACCTTTGTAAACTATTGTTTCTGTGTTTGACATTGTTTTCATCTATTTACAGGAGCAGGCATTCTTCATCAGATGAAAACATATTTACAGTTGTAGCACCAAAAGAACCTACGTCAACACCACCTCCACTTATTGAATCTCAACCAGTAACTACTGCCAGAGAAAGTATAGCAGTGAGAAGGGCACGGCTGCAGGCAGACCGTCGCCAACATCTGCCATCTGACGAAGATAAATCAAAAATGAATGGGACACCTGTACGGGCGCCTCCAAGTAAGAAAACTTAGTCTTGTTGTTGCCATTCAATATACCACTGAGCTCATTTGAATCATGTGAGACAATACAAATGCCCCAAGATTCAGAATGAAAAAAATAATGTAGGGATTGTGCTCACAAATGGTTTACCAATAACTGCTTGTAATGGAATTGAAAACATATATTCTGTATTTTTATGTGTCCTAGAATAAAATCCTATTATTTGGAGTTAGTACAATGCATTTATGAATGTCCCTCACATGATTAGGTTAGGTCAGTTTTATAACCTTCAGTGTATTGTATTGTCTTTACGAATGTTGTTCATGCTTTTTCGTCATTGGTAATGGCAAAAACCATGTGGTGTCAAGACCATAAAGGTAGGTTCTTTGAAGACTACAGTGGTGAATTCGAAATTGATAAGTTTAAGTCAGGTAATGTATATTTATTTCATAGTATTTACTACTATATCATCTTTGTCTTTCTTCTGTAAGATTTCTTCACAGAATTTTACTTTAATTTCCCACATGTTTTAGCAGAAATATTTTGCTTCCCAATACACCTACATAGTACACTGAGTAATTTAGTGAATGTAAATATTCTATTCTTAGTGTTTTTACAGGTTATTGTAATCATAAATTGAATTGTGACAGTGCCATTAATGATGGGATCACTGGAATGCTATAGATTACGTTGAATCCAACGTTACTCCAAAAAAAAATAGCATTCATATTAGAACACTGAGGGCAAACTATGTACTTCATTGTAGTTGTTTGTTGGGTAAATCTGTTGTCTTCAATTGGTATTTACTTTGTTGTTTGTTTAGTTGTTATCGATTCGAATAGCTAATTTTCAATTTGTGTCTCTTCTGGTCTTGGTAATGTGACAATTTCCTATGTGTTGTTTCAGTCTGTATGTTGGAATCTGTTTCTCTGAAACATGTCAGTTATTGCTTCAAATAATGGCTTTCTGTTCTAACACTCAGCTGAAGACCAAGTGTCCTACTTCACAATAAAGCCTCCTTCTTCCTTTTCCTCTGATCTTGATTCTTCCAGTAGTAAGTAGCCATTGTCTTTCCTTGAATTACCAATGTTGCAGCGATCCACTGACCTATGTATACTTATTTCATGTTTATCATCCCTATAGTTTCTATCCTCCTTATATATGTTTCAAAGTCAACATCCCAGCTTGTCCAAATTTCCTTCATTTTTTGTAATAACCTGCACTTCTCCTTCCCAAGGCCATTCCATGTATGTTATTCACGCAGAAATCACAGTAGATAATTCTATCACTTCAGCATCCTTAAGTAAGTATCCATATCCTGATTCCTTTTCCATTTACCATTCTTCTTGCTTATATGTATATGTATGCTTATCCTATCTTCTCCCATGTAAATGATGTGTTTTCCAATCACTACTATATTACATTGAATATATTTCAAATTGTTTTCATTATTTGCTCCTTATCACTGTTAATGCTTCTCTGATCCTTCTCTCTTCTTCACTGTATCAACCCATTCCTCAATGCTAGGCGGAGATGATAATGCAAGTCTTGAGGATGGAAGTGACATAGCACAAATACACAGCATTCCTGAACTAGCTGCCCATAGCACTTCACTGTCAGAATTTCTAGATGTGATTTGGGATGATAGTTTAGCAGATGTGTCGTCCACCTTTGATACAAGTAGTGCAGTAGACACAGACACCGATGACTTTATTACATCACAAGTGACTGAAGCATCTAATATTAGGGGGAGGGAAGAGTTTCTTTCATCAGATGATCAAGCTGATGTTTTGCAGCTTTCACCCCTTACTCAAATGGTGGGGGATTCAGAATCCTATTTCAGTGAAACTGATGAAGACCTGCCCATTAAGGCAACTTTCACATTACCTAAGCCTTCTGTCTCTGAGGCAGGCCCTTCCAGAGATTTGAAAACATCACTTATAAAAACTAACAAAGTTAAATCAAACTTTGCTGAAAATGATGAGGAATGCTACCTGGAGACTACTATCAGTATACCAAGGCTAGCAACAATGTGTGTTGAGGATATTTCTGAAACTCATTCCATCAAAGATAATTATGATCAGATAGATCAGGTTAAAACTGATGAGGATTTCTCCATACAAAAGTTTTCATCTAAGGAAGAGATTGTGGATACTGATAGCAATGAATCTAGAACTAAATATGATGAGGATGTCAGTGTTTCCTCACCAACAGAAGAAACATTACAACATGTTGAAGGAAGGGAGGAACAGTTATCTGTAATGAAAGATGTGGAAAAATCACATACTGACCAATTTGAGGTTGAAGATATGATAGCAGAAGTTACATCGACAGAAATTAAAAGTGTCAATGAATTTGTAGAAGTGACAACCACAGACAGTGAACATGCCAATAATTGCACAGGGGAAGTTGCATCAACAGAAAGTGAAGATACCAATGAATTTGCAGTGGAATTCAAGAACACAGAGAGTGAACATGCTAACAAATTTGCAACAAAAGTTCCATCAACAGAAATTGTAGGTGCCAATGAATATGCAGTAGATGTTGCAGCCACAAAGAGTGAACATGCCAATAATTACACAGGGGAAGTTACATCAAAAGAAAGTGAAGATACCAATGAATTTGCAGTAGAATTCAAGAACACAGAGAGTGAACATACCTACAAATTTGTAACAAAAGTTCCATCAACAGAAATCGAATGTTCCAATGAACATGCAGTAGAAGTTACAGCCACAGCCACAAAGAGTGAACATGCCAATGATTACGCAGGGGAAGTTACATCAAAAGAAAGTGAAGATACCAATGAATTTGCAGTAGAATTCAAGAACACAGAGAGTGAACATACCTACAAATTTGTAACAAAAGTTCCATCAACAGAAATCGAATGTTCCAATGAACATGCAGTAGAAGTTACAGCCACAGCCACAAAGAGTGAACATGCCAATGATTACGCAGGGGAAGTTACATCAAAAGAAAGTGAAGATATCAATGAGTTTGCAGTGGAATCAAGAACACTGAGAGTAAACATGCCAACAAATTTGCAACAAAAGTTCCATCAACAGAAATTGTAGGTGCCAATGAATATGCAGTAGAAGTTAATGCCACAGAGAGTGAACATGCCAATGATTACACAGAGGAAGTTACATCAAAAGAAAGTGGAGACACCAATAAACTTGCAGTAGAATTCAAGAACACTGAGAGTAAACATGCCAACAAATTTGCAACAAAAGTTCCATCAACAGAAATTGTAGGTGCCAATGAATATGCAGTAGAAGTTAATGCCACAGAGAGTGAACATGCCAATGATTACGCAGGGGAAGTTACATCAAAAGAAAGTGGAGACACCAATGAACTTGCAGAGAAAGTTATGACCGCAGAAGGTGAATGTGCCAAAGTACTTGGAACAGATGTTGAGAACACAAATAGTAAATATATCGGTCAATACACAATGGATGTTATGACCACAGAAAAAGAACATGCCAATGGACCCATAACATGGAACACAGATACAGAGGAAGTGATGTCAGTTGAATTACTGGAGGATAAACAGTCTGATAATATTGGTCTGCATTCTGTAGAAAGTGATGCCACTTCTGAAGCTGAGAGGGAGTTTACATCAGAAAGTGAGTTCAATCAGTGTGATCAAATAACATATACATGTGTGTATTTACGATTCTTTGTACAAACAGCAGCTTGTCCAATGAACATTTGTTGGGCTTGTTGTTGTCACTATAAACAAGTGTATAGCTAGTCAACAAAGTTTATGTAATCATGTGTGAATGTGGTATATATACAGCATATATGATTGTGATTTATGTATAATGTAAGCAGCGTTACTTATACTGACAACCAGTGGTTCATTTCATACAAGTCAAGCATTTCATATTCCACTCTTTTAGCTGCCACTGTATCTGGCACTGTAGCTGTCAAAGAATCTTCTACAAACAAGGGTGATGGTGAGGTGAAGGTGAACACCATGCTATTTCACTTGACTAGTCCTTCAGAATGTACAACCTATTTCTCTGAGACCCACTTTAAACTCAACAGTGAGTGAATCTTTTGTTTAATTTGAGTGTTGATTGTTTCATTTATCATTTAACTTTAAAAAATATGTATTCCTTAAATCAAATCTTTTCTTTACCTTCAAGACAATAATGAATCAATGAATATACCATGGCCATCAGGTACTGATAATACACCAGTTACAGCCTCCTTAGTTTCAACAGCGGATTCTTACTATTCTGATAGTGAGTATGTCTTTTCAAATGGCTGTACTCAGTAATATTTTTCCTAACACACTGAAAATGGTCCATCATCATTGACAATCGTATGTCTTCTATAACTAAGATCAAATTGCCCCTTGTTTTGAATTTTTCGCTTCTCATTCATTATAAAGCTGGTTGTTTTATTTTCTGCTTTTCTTTTATTTACATTAATGAAAGATTGTAGTCTGGTTTCATTTGGTTGGCTTTTTGAACAAGATTCTGAATCAGCAACCTCAGTTATCTGTGGATAGGCTCATATTCTAACTTCTTCATCACCCTAAATTCTGACTTGCTCTGCTAATTTCAGTCATACACTTAACTTTCTGGTATTTAAATTTTTATTTGTCCTTCTCTTTATAAGATGAGGACATTTCCTTACCTTACTGGTTGTTTGATGAACATGAAACTGACAGCCCAGGTATGATATTTGTGTTTGTTTCACCTAAAATAACACAAAAATTATGTGCTACATTAATTAAATCTGTTCTCATGGAAAACATCTTCTCTTTTTGTTTGAAGTCGACCAACAAATGTCTTCAACACGTCTTAGTGATATATTTAGTATACCTGCTAAACCAGGTCACTCAGAATCTGACACTGAAGAGGGAGATGATATTCTCCCCTTCTGGCT